TTCTCCTATACCCGCCATCCACAAGCAGTTTCATTTCGACGATAGCAAAACTTGCAAAAATCAGAAATTCTATTGTAGTTGAGCTGAAGTAAAATATAAACACATTCAAAGGTACCTGCATGTATATGAAAGAGCCATACATACACGGAAGTATGCCAACTTCTTTTCCCTCGCACACCGAATCCACAGCAATTCCTTGGCGACGATTTAAAATTTGGCAATTTCAAAAAATAAAACGCGAAAAGGAATCGAGAGAAGGATTTGAACCCGCGCAGCTTGGGCAAAAGTCAATCGATGCAAACCATTTTGCCACCGATCACTTTGCATTTTCGTTGGCAGAGTTGTTATTTATTTAGATCGCTGACAAAAGTATTGACAAAATCGCAAATATTATTCACTATTAGCAACAAATACAATTATAATTTCAGTCATTCATAGTGAAAACTCTAGAATTTTTTTATAGTATTTTAAATGTTGATACTTTTTAAACTTTTTTCTTTGTATCGAACTTTTTAAATAAATTTTAATATATTTAATGATTTTTAAAAATAAATTTTTTTAATATTTTTATATTTTTTATATTTTTCTATTATTTAACACACTTGAAATTGCCAAAGCAAAGGTATGCAATAAATTGAATAAATAATTTAATACGATTCTCTGTTTTTTAGCAGAAAATTCATTCCGATTTCTGCTAACTTTATCAGTGGCTGTTATAGAAATCATGGTGAATCCCTTTCCCGGTGTGGTGAATCCCTTTCCCAAAGTTTTTCAGAAATTGTTTGAAGCAGGTTCGATGTTGCAACGAATTTGCACCTTCTCGTTATTTTAAGTTCTCTGAACCAGATCTTCTGTGGTGAAAAACTCGCTCTCAAATTCGTTTCAATAATGCTCACTAACTGTGACTATTTGCCGAAAGATGGCTCTTAAAGAAACTCGCTAGAACTCGCTTCAGCGCCACCTATTCGCCGAGAAGTAAACGATATTCTCGCTTAATATATCTCATATTCAGTATTGTACTTTTCCTTTAATTGACAAATGTATCATTCGCTTTGAGTGTTTTATCGTCGTTCATACGATTTCTCTTAACTAATAGTAATACAACGATGCGAATTGAAATTTAATTAAATTTCACAATATTAGCAAAATTTCCTCTCTTAAACTTTAGAGCCGTTTTAACACTTAGGTAGACTCTGAGAATATAAAGTATCTCATAGCTTTGTGTGTTCCCGTAGTAAGTTAAGGTTAAGCGCCTACTTTAATCCTTCATCTCTTTTGCTGTGTTTTTAGTCAGCGAACCCTGGAACCCACCACATAAAAAATATTTATTTATTTATTTATATAAAATATAGCTTATAACATAAATCTTATAAGCTATTTGTTCGGGAGCTATGGCTACTAGGCCTTAAGCTCAATACTTGTTTACATATTTACGTTTTAAGTTTAGATTCCTTTTGCTTAAATCTTATGAAAGATATTTGTTCTTTTGAGAAAGTTCGTTAAGTTCGCTTCGGCTAAGGGAAGTGAGAGGTAAGAAGTTGGACTTGTGTTAGTAAAAATTCGTACACTATGAATGGCATATAGCGGGCAGTTAAGGAGAAGATGTTTTGATAATTTCATTTTCTGTGGTTATGCACTTCATATAGCTTTGATTGGTTTGGCATCCATCAGTATAAATGAACTGAAACTGAAGCAGATTTGTGTTAGACTTGTTTAGGGTAGGGAAAATCGGAGGTACTTTTCACAGTTAGATTTATGGGCACGTCTACTGCTGAGCATTGCTCTATAATTCTACTTAAGGCAGGTTTAATTTTAAGGTGAGTTTTCCTCTCTTTGAGGTTCTTACCGATATTGTAAAGTGGATTGTCTTGTTTTGTTATTACAGCTTTATACAGTTTAGTTGTAGTTAAGTCTCTGTGCCTTTCAAAGTTCATTATTTTTGATTTGAACTTTGTTTAGAAGATATTCAAGGGGATGTCCATAGAGAATAATGCAATAACTTATTTTGGATATGATTGTATTAAAGTACTGTAGTACGATGTTTAACTGTGGGGCCAAAAAGAGGCTTAGGTTATCTAAGTGGGAGGTCCATTTGTAATTGTTGTTGAATATAATACCTAAAATTCTCAAGTTGTCACAAGGAGTAAGGGTTGTGTCTCCTGATAGTATGGCACATTGACAATTCTTTTTTCGGCATACATGAATGTATCGATTTTTTGATGGCGATAGGTTTGCTCCTGAGTAGTCGCACCAAGTTGAAATGTCTAGGATATACAATAGTTAATGACTTTGGGGCCGACTTTCCATTCCATTAATTGGTCTATTACTGTATGTATACCTATTTTGTCATAAGCCTTTTCAAAGTCAATTGTTAGGTGACCCTTTGACGAGAGCTTAGTTGCAGCCAGATAGTCTAGGAGTAGTAGAGTATTCGCTGTAGATTTACCTCTCTTAAAGCCCATTTGCCGGTTGTTCAGTATTTTGCTTTTTGCCATAAACCACCACAACCGACTTGCTACTATTCTATCTAGAACTTTAGCGAAACAAGTGTTTAAGGATATGGGTCTGTATGATTTTGCTTTTGTTTTGTCTGATTTTGGTTTGGTAATGGTATAATAACGCTGTATTTGAAGGATTGCGGAATTATTTTGTCGTTAAGAATTGAATTGTACAAGTTTAGGAGACGCTTCTTGAAGACTTCTGTGGAATTACGGATCATCGAGTGAATTATTCTCTATATACCTGGAGTTTTTCCTTTTTAGCTTAGATAGGGCAGATGTTAGTTCCAAATAGCTTATATATTTCTCTAAAGGCGCTGCGTTATTGCACGTCTGTGAATTTATTACATTTTGTTCAGTCGTCCTTTTCCTGTTTTGGAAACGATTTGGAAACGGTTGATCTGTCGTTACTGAGCACCAGTATTTAGCGAGCTCATCACCGATATCTTTTGGGTCGGTAGAAATTTGGTTTCGATTACTAAATGATTTTAGGCAATGTATACCATAGGATAGTTTTTAACCGCAGAAACGTTTTACGTTCATTCATATTTGTTTAGTAGGGGTGTTCGGGTTCTGATGTAAACTATCGTATGGACGATTGTTTTGAGGTTATAATTTCACGCTTTAATGCAGAATTTGCCTTTTTATCTTCAATTTAATTGGTTTCAGTGATGTTACTTCTGAATATTTGAAACCGTTAGTTTTTCTCAGCTTTCAGCTTACCTGAGTTTTGATTCCACCACGGTACTGATCTCAAATTTTTGTAATTTTGTATTTTGGGAATGGATTCATTCCTTTTATTTGGAAGATGCCGCTGCCCAGATGGTTGATGTTGTCCTAATGGTTGAAGGCTGTCCAAGATATGCAATGAGTGGGAAGAAGAAGGGTTCTTGTGAAATATACTATAGGGGCCATATAAAGGAGTGCAAATTTTGTGTTTTCTTTGTGGGGGGCAAACACTCCCTCACCGTGTACCGACAGTCACCCTGATGAATGAACGTCTAGCCACAATTTGCATCAAATCGAAATGCCTCACCATATCCTTGATATGTGACCACGTCCCGATGGGAAAGAAGAATACTTTCTATATACAAATCGAACGCACATTTGAGCGGGTTTGATGATTCGGAAAATTTAGCTTCCACGATGAACTGGTCAACTTTGCCGGGCCCGAAATGTAGTTATCTGCAGTATCAGATTTCGAAAACGCAACCAAACTGATCAAGTTGTGATTAAAGGAAGACATGCCTAGGATCCGAGGATATAACATCAACTAGGATCAATATTTTGTCGCATGCGTCTTTGTGCAGCGAAGAACGCTTGTCTACAAAAACAGGAAAGGTTCGACTTGGAGAAGCAGCAACCAAAACAAGCAGCCGAATGGGTATCTATTCGACATGTACACCTGTTTTTTGAGAGCACTTATCAGCAACTAGATGTAATATAATGGACACCGCTACGGAAACAATTGATTTTTCGACAAAGTCAGAAAAAGAATTGGGGGGATGAGGAATACCAAATTGCAATGAAAAGAAAATCTTGCAATGTTGGCCGTCGACTAAAGCACTGCGGGGTGGAATAAATATCTAGGGAAATGGAAGCGACATGCATATGCAGACAAGAAAAGCTACAGACTGAAATTTGTGAATATGAAACGCTCGAGAAGTTGGCCGAAATGGGTAATACTTGAAATTTAAATAAAAAGATGCGGCGCCTCACAGATGGTCTTAAGATCGGAGTATAGGACCATGGACCGATGTCCAGAGCCCAATTAGTGCTTGGATGACAGTAAAAGCCTTACCTTTCTGAAGCAGTTGAATGAGAAACCCCAATGTCGATGAGTGGATTCCCACGCATAGTAAGAGGAAGATCACTTCGTGGAGGGAGACCAGGGCGAGAAGACCTTGGCTGCACTTGGTATTTCCAATTGGCCACAAACCGAGAAAGAAGGAATAACGCGCTGTCGTTAACTCGGCTATAATCGTTTAAGGGATAATTACATCAACAAGTTACGTCTCTAAAAAATTGTTTTGTTTTTACTAATTGCTTACTTATTGATTTTTGTCTTACTAATATGAAAGCCAGCCAGCCAGAGCGAATTGGTATCCTATCTAAGCCACTCATTTAGCGTGGCTTTTGAGGCACCACTTATACCTATTAGCCATTAATCAATATATTTATAATAGTTGTACCACTTTTGTCTGTTCTTATCAAATCTCCATGCCACTGTTTGAAATAATTTTTATTCGAAGACGTTTGAAATAAGTATTTTCATTGCATCGGACACATTAAGTTGAAGTTCACTCAAGACTAGTTAAATTGTTTCTAAGAAATTTCGAAGCCGCTGGTTTCACAGGCCTTTCGTTAGATGACTTCGATGACAAATACTGCTACTAAATTGGGTTAACTAATCGCTACAACCAAAACAACAACATCAAAGATTTATCCAATTGTTCATATAAAATCGAAAAACAATTCGAGTAAACACAAATTTACGTGATTTTATTGTATGTACATATCTATATAATATTTAGAGCTATAAATCCAATTTACAAAACCATAATTTCAGTTCTTATACATATCGCAGAGCACCTTTTCCATTGGCGTATTTCCAATTGTCCTTTGAAAATATATTAGTTCGATCTTGTGGGAGTTCACAGTTCGAAGAAGAGGTAGCATAAGAAGCAGACGACCAAATCGTGCGATTTGGGTGAGAAATTGTGATTTTGTATGTTGAGACAACATCACCTAGAACGAAAAATATAATATTATTAATATTATGTATTTATGCATACCAACATACAAGTAAGCATACATATATAAACATATAAGTACAAACTTTAAACAATAATTAAAGGTTGTTTTAATTAAAAACATTTCATGTAAAATAAAAGTTACTAAAGTTTCACAAATAAAGAAATTATTTCTCATCCGTGCAATAGGTAGTGCGATAGAATATAAAAGTAACTTAAAAGCACTATTGCGATGATTTGTCAATTAAAAAATGTGGAGTAAATTTTACAATAGTAAAGAATTTTATAGCCTCCAATAAAGCGTGATTTTTTAGCTATTATATTTTTGATTTTCGTGATATGTGTCACTGTCAACATCTTCAGTTTGGTCTATAATTTAACCATGAATCGTCTTACAAACGACAACGCTTGCAAATTATTGAACTTAATTATCAAAATGTGTGCTCTGTTAAGAAAGTTCATCGCGCGCTTCGAAGCTCACTTTTGGCTTAAGCGTAAATAAGCAGAATTATCTATTTCGGAGTGAAGATCAGCCAGAAGCATTGCAAGAGCTACCAATGTATCCAGAAAAAGTCAAAGTTTGGTGCGGCTTATGGGTTGGTGGCATCATTGGACCGTACTTCTTTAAAGTTGATGCGTATCGCAACGTTACTGTGAATAGTGAGCGCTACCGTGATATGATATAAAACTTATTTTTGCCCAAAATGCAATGGCTTGGCATGCATGACATGTGGTTTCAACAAGACGGTGCCACATGCCACACAGCACGCGTAACAATGGACTTATTGAGAGGCGAGTTCGGTGAACATTTTATTTCACGTTCCTGACCGGTCAATTGGCCGCCTAGATCGTGTGATTTAACGCTATTAGACTATTTTTTGTGAGTCTATGTTGAATCTAATGTCTATACAGACAAGCCCGCTTCAATTGACGTATTGGCGACATCATTAAAGCATTTATTCGTGAGATACCGACCGAAATGTTGGAAAGAGTATGCCGTAGTAGAGTATTGAACAAAGCGGATGGACCATTTGAGGCGCAGTCACGGTCAACATGCGTTTTTCTTAATTTTATGTGTTTTTTTTTTGAAAAACTTTTCTATAGCTCTTTAAAATCACCCTTAATATAATATAATTAAATAATCATAAAACTTAACTTTTATTAATATTTTGTAATTTAATTTTATTTTTCAAACGCGGTCGTCTGCTTAGCAGGTCATATTTTTACTGCATTGAGACTTTTGACCTAATAATTTAATAAGGTGCGAAATACCGCTTCTTTTGGACAACATGATAATTAAGTATTCAAAATTTGTAATATATGCTGTAATTTAGATTGATTTAGGAATATCGTGCAGAACAAGAATTTTTGTGCATATGAACGAGGTGTGATCAGGAAATAACCGTTAATTTCAATTTTTTCAAAAAGTTTTTATTTTTTTCATCCATAACTATCTTGCCTCCTTCAAAGTAATGCCCTCAGATATAATACACTTAAGCTAGCGTTTTTTCCAATCCTCAAATATTACTGGAACACGTTTTTTTGTATCGCTGTGTTCAGTTTTTGGAAGAGGAAAAAGTGGACAAAAACTCACGCACTAGTATCGATCTGTGAGCTGGTGCATTATCATGTTGCAAAAACCATGATTGGTTTTCCCACAATTCTATGCGCTTCTGACGAATTGCTTCGCACAAGCGGCGAATAACATCTAGGTAGTATTCCTACATCATCAGCAGCCTCTCGGATGGTGATTCGACGATTATTCAAATACATTTTTCTCACTGCTTCAATGTTTTCATCGGTTGTTGACATTGCCATTGACATCTTCTTAAACCGGTTATACCACAATTGCACTTGCTCTGCTCATAGTAGACTCGACAACGCCCCAGCTGGTACGATGAGCACTGCCGTGTCACAGTGGACTGACACGGACTGCCTACCTCTCAACCTTGCGATCAACCACAACGGGTGGGGAAAGGGATAGATACCTGCATATTCAGGCAAAAAAAAAGAGATCGAGATGCATGAGCATGAAGAGCTTGAGCAGCTGGCCGACAAGGGCAATTCTCAAAAATTCTACGAGAAGATACGACGACTTACGGAAGGTTTCAAGACCGGAGCAGACTCTTGTAGAACACAAAGAGTTGATCCAGCCATCGATGCCTGGAGTATATTGAATTATATTTATGGAGAATCCGGAGACAGTGAGCCCGAAATCCCAATCGATGACGATGGAAAAGACGTTCCATTACTTGACCATGAAGAAGTTCGAATAGCAATCGTCCGCTTAAAAAACAACAAAGCGGCGGGAGCTGGCAGAATTATTCAAACGTGGCGGTGAAGAGCAGACAAGGTGCATGCATCAGCTACTTTGCAGAATATGGTCGGACGAAAGCATGCCCGACGATTGAATTTTAAGTGTCCTCTGTTCAATCCATAAAAAGGGGACCCTCCATTCTGCGCCAATTACCGTGGAATAAGCCTCCTTAGTATCGCCTATAAGGTCCTGCCGAGCGTATTGTGTGAAAGACTGAAGCCCACCGTCAACAAACTGATTGGACCTTATCAGCGTGGCTTCAGACCTGGTAAGTCAACCATTGACCAGATTTTCACCATGTGGCAATTCTTGGAATAGACCCTTGAAAAGAAGATTGACACCCACCACCAATTCATCTATTTTAAAGCCGCCTACGACAGCATGTCTGACTTTGATATCCCCGCAAAACTTATACGGCTGTGTAAGCTAACGCTAGGAAACACCAGAAGCGCAGTCAGAATTGGGAAGGATCTTTCCGAGCCGTTCTATGCCAAACGAGGTTTCAAACAGTGTGACTCTTTATCGTGTGATTTCTTCAATTTGATGCTGGAGAGAATAAGAGCTAAAAAGGGAAGGTACACTCTTCTATAAGAGTGTACAACTACTAGCGTACGCCGATGATTGAGCGAGGACAAGACGAAATATCTCCTGTCATCAAACAAACAGTCATCGCATTCGCGACTTGGATCCCACGTCACTGTTGACAGTCTTAACTTCGGCCATGAAATCTAGCGCATAATCATTCTTGCCAACAGGTGCTACTTTGGACTGAGTAGGCAGATGAACAGTAAAATCCTCTCTCGACGAACGAAAACCAAACTCTACAAGTCCCTCATCGTTCCCGACCTGCTTTATGGTGCAGAAGCATGGACGATTAGAACATCTGATGAGTCGGCGTTAGGAGCTTTCGGGAGAAAGGCTTTGCGAATACTCCAGCTTTGAAGGTTTTCGATACAGTGCCCGCCGGTGGAAGCATGGGAAGAGGAAGACCTCCACTTCGTTGGAAAGACAAGGTAGAGAAAGACCTGGCTGTACTTGGTATTTCCAATTGGCACCGAACAGCAAAAAGAAGAAACGAATGGCGCAATGTTGTAAATCGGCTATAATCGTGTGAGTTGTGTATACGCCAGTAAAGTAAGTAAGTAAGTAATTTGTATGTGCGTATGTACATTGCCTATATATATATCTATACATATGTATGTATACCTACAGTGGCTGTTGGTCAAGCCCCTACCAACAACCAACAACGTCAACAAAAAGCGCAAAGAGGAGATGATAAAAACTAACAAAGCGACCGGTCAGCTGAGTGAAGACGACATGGGTCGCTAGCTACGCACCACAACAAAACTACTTGTAATGAAAACAAAACTAAGTGAAACTGATCGGCGCTGGCTAAAACAAACGAAAATCTCACAACAACAATAACTTTAAAGAAAGGTCAAACTATTAAAACAATTAAACAAAATAAGTTTTTGGGGTACACCCGAGGTGTGGTCCTACCACAATAATTACGAACCCACTCGCGCTACTCCAGTACTGGCGAGGTAACTTTAACCCGCCCAAGTGACTGGGCTCTGGGTGCGGGATGCTATAAGGATGGGTAAGGATGTAAGGAGGGAAGGGGCACTGTCGGCGCGACAAAAAGTTAACAAACAATAAATAGACAAGATACCTAACGGTCGGTTGTGCGTTCCGACGTCAGTGCTCATCCGGACGATGTCGCCAAACTCCGGTTCCGCCATGGGAGTTCTTCTTCCACAAAATAAATTATTATCCCTGGTCCCGACTGCCCTTTAACATAAAAACCATGCAACTTTGTATCTAAACAGACTTTTTGTTAACCGCGGCTGCCTTCTACTGGCGAAACACTATCTTTTATATAAAAATCGTTGTTTTCACACTTTCGTAGGTTACTAGAATCTGATTCAGCATGCACTTACGAGCCAGTCCGCAAGCAATTCTCCTGCGAGAGCTTGTACTGGTGCCCAATCATTTGGCGCCGCCCCCATTACCCAAAGGGACCGGCTTGCATAGCGCACGCCACCATTGCACACCTAGTACACTGGGATAATTTTCCCTCGCAGCATTAAAGAAAACGGCGACACTCCTATTTACGGAATACCCGCGCAATGCTTTCCGTTTCCCTAATATTTGTTAATGGTGGAACCGTTTTGTAGGAACACGTCCTTTGGGAGACTTACATACTGGGTAGGCGCATAGCATCGAATAAAACCGTGTTATTATTCCATGACTTTAAATAATGCAACTATATGCCGACAGATGTCACCGTGAACGTTTGGAGTGAAAGGAACACAAAATAAGTGTTTGTTGCAAAAACAAACTGACAACCCAAAATGGCTGAATTAAGAAAATAAAATACTTAACTCACGAAATTTGTAAATAAGGGATATTTTCAAAAAGATTTTTTACTTTTGTTTTGTTTTTGTGCTACCAAATTTTATTTTTTAAAAATAAATTTTCATCTAACTAAAATTAAAAAAATATTGTATCATACTGTAAAAAATGCGAAATCTTTCATTGCAAACACAAAAAACGTAAATCATTATTATTATTTTGTGAAATGTTATGAAAATAAAATTATTTTCAGGTGGCTTAGCATTTTTGAAAAAAAATGATATATTTCAAAAGTGGTTTTGTCTTCAAGTTCTTTGGATCATATTTGAAATACCAAATAAAAAAATATAAACAATGAGCTGTTTTTGGCTTCAAAAATCTAATGCTTTCCTAAATGGAAAATGTGTATCCCATTTATAACACAAAATCATTGAATATATGTACACACGTATGTGCTTCTAACAATTTTTTTTTCTTTTTATCTTATATTTGAAGCCGAAATTTCACAAAACTGATCTTCTAAACATATATTTTCTTTGATAAAAAAATGTCTTTTACAGGCCTATTCTCACTGTTGCCGGTAAAGTAAATTTTGTTACTTTTCTTTAACACCCGAAATTGAATTTTGACAACAAAAAAAGCTGAATGAAAACGTTATCTTACAAATAAAAGGGCTATTTTTTAGTCTCAAAAACTTCTTAAAATACGGGTTTTTGCACTTTTTTCTTCATCTTCAATGAATTCCAGGCCTAAAATATGCCCATTTTGGTTTTTTATTTTTTCTCAAACTTACAACACAAAATCAAACAGCAGACATTTCTGTTACCTCCTATTGCGCTGGTACCAAAATTTACAGGGTAACAGTGGAATGGTAACAAAATTTACTGAATGGTAAATTTTAATACCTAGGTAAATTTTGTTACCTCGGCAGAATAGGTCTGTTAAAATATTGAGTCTGATATCTGAAAAATTCCTTTTTGATATGCCATTCCGTGTAGAACCAAATATCATGTTATTGAGGTATTTGTTACCCATATTCACATATCTGAAATGATCATGAGAAAAAAAATGTATCTTTTTACCTTCTCATAGCATTAACCACTTCCGAAAAATCTATATAGTATATAAAGTTTGTTTGTTTGTTAAATTATTAAACTGCAAATTTGACAGCTTGTTTCTGTATTCCCGGAAAGATTTTTGAGAAAAATTACAACGCCAACACAATATAAAACAGTGCAGTCTTTTAATGAAACTACAATTTTATTTTTTGAGTATGTGAAAAAGACTTTATTTCAAAGCCAGCTACTGACCTAGGAGATTTCAATAATAGAATTGTTAATTCGTCTAGTTTTGGACTATTACGGACTAAAATCGACTTTATGCTAACCAAACGCTGAACGCATTACGATAACATAGCCACTTGCGGCATATGCAGTACTTATGTAAATACAAGCCTAACTTCACAGGTAATAAAGCATAAATTACGCACACACATGTACACAAAGCGTGGTTGTTTAGACTTGTTGGTATTTTCGACAGCTGATACTTGATTTATGCGTTTTGTTTGCCATTTCATAATGACTTACTTCGGAACAACGTTTGCAAATCATAAAAATCTTTAACAAACCAAACCATTATCGGCATCGTGGATTACGTTCTCTTGATCTTGGCCAGCGGACTACAAAATTTCGCTCATGCAAGAATTGAAGTCGGACGACCATTAAGTGCGTCGTACGTTCGATGAATGGGCCAAAAACTTGATTTTCACAATAAAAATAAAATCCTGTTTGGCCTTAATTTTCGCTAAATGGATACGTTAACAAAAAAAATTCGTCGCAACAAACGCAGTAGATTAATGCTTTAGGGAGTTCATCAAAAATTAATATGTATTTGTGTGAAATGCAGTCACGACAGTCTTGCGCACTTTTGTTTGTTTGGTAATATATTTCCCATACTTACATGCGCTTGATCTTGGAGATTTTCTATCTGCACGGGATCCTTAAGACCTCGTGTTTCGGGCCGGAATAAAACTATAGCTTTTAAGCAAGCAAATTCTGCTGGATCCACTAAAACAGCCTTGTATTTGTAAAAAATTTCATGTAGTGTGCGAACGCTTGTGGCTACCTGAAAAAATTCTAATCTTTAATTAAATGTATAAATTACATGTTGAGTTAATTAAATATTAATTACAATAACAATTAGGAAACAGATCGTAATTATTTCCGTTTTAAATACCTGTGCAGCAACGTATGTAGCATTCGACTTGGGTTTCAACATTGAGATCCAAAAATTGAATAAAGATTTCATGCCAATATATGAGAGAAGAAGAGAGATCAGCAATACTTGATTGGCTATCTTTTTCGTGCTACCATCTTTTTAAAAAAAATTACCTCTTTTAAATAAAAATTATTTGGGGTATTTTAATTTTTTTTTTAAATGTTTGAACTTCAAAAGAGCGAATTATATTGTAATTACCAACAATTGATATATAATTTCATTATTGGCTTTTTGGAACTTTAGTAAGTTGTAAGATAGTATTAGAAGGGAACAGATTGCTTATCATAGGGTAAAGTTGATTAAATTTTTACGCCCTTTTAAATTTAATTTAGCAGCTAAATATATTGAGATTTATAAATCTAAATCGATTCCTCTTCAACTATGTCCCTGTCGTTTGAAAAACAGCCCATCCTTCTACCATGAACCCCCACAACAGAAGTTTTGTTTAGAAGAATAAAAAACTTAAAATTAAATAATCAGTGTCAAATTATTACACATATTTGGAAAACGAAAACATACACATAAGTTCATTCACAATAGAAAATTTTCAACAGTGAGTGATAATTCAGTACGATTCTTTCCAAATCAGTGCCTGGGGCCACTGCAGTCCTAAATACTAATCATACTTACTTCTTCCTTGGATACACAATTATCACTATCAGGAGTACTTTCATAATTGTTACAATGTTCTGAAACTGAAAATAAAGTACATCCGGTTGGGTCTAAAGGAATACACCATTGGATCGCGTTGAGTAAGAAGAGGTCCGACCATGACTCCTCTAATAAAATAACCTAAAATTAAAATTGGGGAAAAATATATATAATATAGAAATAACGTAGTTAAATAATTAGTACATATGTATTAGAAGCACTGTTCTTTTTTATAGGTATGTTTGGTATGAGCAGTGTAATCAATAATTGTGCATTTTTACGATATCATTTACTGATCCTTATAACACCTATGATGTAATGGGAAGTCATAATGCTTTTGCGTATGTAGTTAGATTTGCAGGGTTTTGAACAAATCGTACAGCTTCCTCTCTTGGAGCCTTTAGTCACGTCTAAATGAGAGGAAGCTGTAGTGAATCTACTCAAATACTTTCGGTTTAAGGGTTCACTAAAGTCTAATTGCTGCGTTTGTTCACCGTAGGCGATGCTGTCAGAGGGGGTCGGTCATGAAGCAAACGGCTTGTTATACGATATAAATGCGTGCAAAATATAAAGCTACTCGCCTAGCAACTCGCCTAGCTTAGATTGTAACCCGCGCAGAAAGAACCAACTAGCATTTTTGATGACGACCGAGATATAAAAAGCGCAAATTTGGTGTCGGATGAAAAATACGGCACAATGACTTTTATAAATGCCCGAAGTGTATTTGCGAAAGCTACCGCCGCCATGGCGATACAATTGCGTTTGGCGACTTTAACGCCAGAGTCGGCGAAAAAGGAATCTTCGGCACAACTGTCGGAAAATTCAGCCTTCACTACGAAATTACTCCAAATAGGTTAAGGCTGTTGGGCTTCGCCATGGTCCAAAATATGATTGTATGTGACGGTCACGATAGCCCAGTGGTTAGAATTGCGTACTGTCCAACATCCAAAAGCTACAAACAATTAAGTTAAATTTTCTGTTGTTATTGTTGTTGAAGGTGTTGACTGACTCCTGGTGAATGGCGTTCAGTGCTTGTGTGTACGCCGTTCTGTCTAGCGGTTGTTGTACTTATTGCTGGATTGTGTCCTGTAAGTCTAGTACTTCCTTTCTGATGTGCTTAGGTGGAGGTTCAGCCTCTATTACGTGCCTACTGGGGTGCGCCCTGCTTTAGCATCCCAAGAGAAACTGCGTGCACAGCAAATCATTACGCTCCTTAACTCGTAGCATAGATGCTTCGATGTGCAAGTGATGCTCCGGCGACATCAGGAGGTTTCTTGTCGCGCTGCTGAAGGCGGTGTTCTGGCAAGCCTGTAGCTTCTTCATCTGCGTCTCGTTCGTCCCCGGCGCCCAGATCGGTGCAGCATAGTTTACGACCGGTCGACCAATTATAAGTAGCCAGCAAAGTTTCTTTGTCTGTACCCCAGGTCCTGCCGGGTAACGCTTTGAGTATTTTGTTGCGGCTCAGGAGTGTTGCGGCAATTGCGGTCACATGCGGAGTGAAGGAGTCTAGTCTGTCTAGTGTTACTCCCAATATTTTTGGGTTATTTTTCGTCGGAATTTTTGTGTCATCGACCTTCACATATAATTCAAGCCTGTACTCCTTCGTCCAGATGGTAGAGAATGTCAACCTCTTCATGTATATTTCTAACACGAAATTAAAAGCTCCTCATAAAAAATCATCAGCCGTACGGAGGAACGAAAAGATTCAATTAGAATAGGCAACCGAACGGTTTTCTATTCGCCTTAAATTCCCGGAACTCGGTATAAGGATACTTTGGTGTGGCATTTCAAGTACATACGAACAGCCACACCACAGTACACAGGGGATCTCCAAAAGTTCAAAAGTTTAACGACAGAGATAATGCTCGAAGGAAGGTTTCAAGATCGAAGTACACTTTTCTATGATCCAGGGAGTTAGTCTGTTGACTGATAACCATGGCATATTGAGTTTAGCAAGCAGCACTTGCTGTATGGTAATGAAAATGAGACATCAAGAGATAACCAACTCCATTACCTAATCGTTTATGATGAAACAGAACTATTTTCTTGGCCCAACAAATTGCCCGCCTGATTAACTGCAAAGCGGCGAGGGCCGATAGAACTTTTCTCAAAGCTAAATTTAACAACTGAGAAACCTGTTGTTGTGATTGATGCGAAAATGGATGAAGGTAAACATACTCAATTTTTTCAAACCAATAAATCCGTCATGATTTTGTCAATTCCTACACTAAAGCAAAATCAAAATGCTCAGTGATTGTTATATTTATTCATCTGCTTTCATCTTTATGAGTTTGAACTGATTCCTTAAAATGCTTGTATTCTTTACATGAATTTAATAGGCTTACCTTATCCAATAAATGCTCAACAATCAATAATAAAATGAAATACACAAATGTCTCATTACCTGATCTCTGAAAGATAGACTTGCGAAACTTGGTAAATTCTTCGCCCACTTCACTGCCATGAATAGGAGGCGGGCACTGGTTTCATAAACAGTTTCATGTGGCTGAACGTACAAGTTTTGAGGGACAAATGTCGGTATCGTAAAATGACAATCCAATTTCTCGTTACGAAGAGGCTCTTCATCATTGGTAACGTCGATGGAGTCATCTTTAAGTTAGAAAACAGAAACATACAAATGTAAATATGTTCAGCAAAATTACTTCAAACCTCAGGCATTGAAAACTTAGATTACGACTGTATGGCAAACGAATTCTTCCAAATTTCAATGGCAATCATGTTATGTAATGCGGTTTTGAACCAATAAATAAATGTTTAAAGGCGACATTTTGCAGATAAAAAAACTTGCTCGCCGCACTGAAGTGTTGTAAGGCGGTCTAAGTGTTCAAAGCCTGATATACATACGAGTATGAGTATAGAAATTTATAAGTGTATTTATATATCGTACTCCAATGTTTTTATTGCATAGTAACAATATAAAGGAAAAAAAGCAAATATGTCACAAAAACTCGATGTTGTAAACAGTGATGATGTCTTCCATATTAAATTCCACGGGTACATAATACGTTGTTGTTGCTCAACGTATGCCACTAAATAAAATTATGACTTGACCTACAAATTTTACTACTACCAGCCAAAAACCAAAATATTCTAATAGAAATTATGAAAAATTCAGCTTTAAATAAAAGATAAAAGTCTCTGAGCCACTTTTCCAAAGAAACTGTCCATTTAAATTTTTGATGAAAATTCGTACTCATATCTTAGGCAAAAGACAGTTTTTTCCGCCATGCCTTCACTTCTTTTCGCTGAAAAAAATATTATATTACTATTTATGTGTCCGTTTTGTAGTATGTGTCGGCCGATCTGTGATTGTTATCAGGTAATAAATCAGTTTTCCAATTCAATGCGACACATGCCCAAAACACCACCATCTCTGCTTAGCTTTAAAGATTAATACCGCCGTAGATTCGAAAAAATATCCTGGATTGGATTATATCACACCAAAGATGCTAAAATATTTTTCAAGCACTGCTCTCGGTTTTCTTCCAAAGCTTTCCAGAGGTATATTAAAAATATGATATTATCCGCAAACATGGAAAAAATATCAGGTTAATATACCTAAATCAGGTTAAGACGTATTCGTACCTTTATCTTGGTGACCAGTCACTCTCTTTCCAAAATATTACCATTAAATTTCTACTTATCTCCATTAAAAGGCTCCTAGTCCTTACTCACCAACTTAATTTTCCCAGATGACATAGCTCGTCTGACCAAGTAAATCGTATAATTAATGAAACAAGAAAAGTTTTCAAATTCATAAAATACGGATATGCAGTTTTTCTTGTTGCGACAAGCATTTGACAATGGATGCTAAGATGGCACGTTCTACAATATCCTTGAATCCTACTTATCCCACAGACGATTCACTGTAAAAGAAAGATAATACATAACAGAACAGTACCCAATCACGGCAGATATTTCACCGCAGATATTTCACGGCAATGCTCTGATAACAGCCTTAGTACCAGCCTAGAGTAAGATCTGAGTTGTATGTTTTGTATATAATTTTCGCTATTTCACAACTTTTGTGTATTCCTTACTTCCCTTTCCTTCCCCTAATGGAGTTGGTATGTCCGTAGCAATGTCTAAAAAGTCCTCCTTCTATAGCTAGTTCGACAGACATCTCACTACTTTCGATACCATGTTATCCTATAAATATGAATATTACTTTTCTGCGTCAATATTTTCAATTTTGGAAAAGTGCAATCACTTTCGACTTTATGTTGCATGAGAGTAAGGCCCTATATATAGGTTACCTATATAGTTATTGGACCAACACTCTTCGTATCTCTGTCGCCATTTGTCAGCTTGAAAGACTTTCTTATTTCTACTTGGTTACAATTTTTATTCGATCAAGGCGAAAAAGCAGCCAAAGCGGCTGAAAAAATTAATTTAGTTTATGGGTCCGATACTGTAAACGAACGAGTAGCACAAAAGTGGTTTTCTAAGTTCCATTCCGGTAATTTCGATGTCAAAGATGCGCAACGCGTCAGGAGGGCTGTCGTCGAAAATTGCGATAAAATCATGGAAATAGTGGAATCAGACCGTCACGTGAGCACTTATTTAATTGCTGAGGAACTAAAGATAAGTCAGAAAACCGTTTGGAGCCATTTGCATAACCTTGGATTCAAAAAGAAGTTCGAAAATATGATGGACCGAAAATTCCATATGCGAATCGCTGCTGAATTGATCCATTTCTGGAGCGGATTGCTATTGGAAATGAAAAATGGGTCACTGACGACAACATCGAGCGCAAACCGTCGTGGTGAAAGCTCGCGGAAGCGGCCCAGACGGTGGCTTAGACCAGATTGACGGCCAAGAAGGTTTTGCTGTATGTTTGGTGGGATTGGCAAGGAATCATCTACTACTACTGGTCATCCAGAACAGGTCATCTTTGATCAACAGAGGCCGAATTGTGTTCCAACAGGACAACTCCAGGCCACACACCTCTTTGGTGACGCGCCAGAAGCTCTAGGAGCTCGAATGGGAGGTCCTGATGCATCCAACTTGTAGTCCGGACCTGGCAACAAATGATTACCATCTTTTCCTGCCCTTGGCGAACGCGCTTAATGGTGAGAAGTTGGCCTCAAGAGAGGCCTGTGAAAATCGGCTTGCCAATAGGGACGCAGCCTTCTACGCGTAGGGAATCTCGTTGGCAACAAGTTTACGAACAATACGGCATATATTTGACTTAAATCGGACAAATGTACACAAAGTTATCATATTTTGAAAAATCAATAAAAATAAACCGAACGAACTTTTAACTTGAACTTTTTACTATGCACAAATTCGAACTGGTAGTCTTAAATAATATGTTTTCAGCCACTAGCCTTGGCAGAGTTTATAAATTAGAATCATAACGTTGGAGTGCGATATATACTTAGCCATAAAGTCAAATTCCTTTACCATCATTATCATTATCGTGCACAGAGCTATTTGAACTGATTGATGAAACACTTCCTCCGACGGGATTTTTTTCTAAAACTGAAAAAATGGAAATTTTAATTTAAAATTTAGTTTTGCATAAACATGTTATAATTGTACTTTTTTTCAGATCGTTCAACCAGCACGGAACTAAAATTATTTGAATAGAATTTTCCAATAAAACATAAACTTAAAGGAATCTCTTCAGATTATTTATTTTGGTTAAGCAAATTTGTTTGTGTTCTTGGAGAAATTTTGTGTCTTATCGTATAAATAAGAAGCACACCAAACATCTTAAATTTTAATTTGACTCTAACCAAAAAAAATCGAATATTTATGTTTGTAAACTTTTAACTTTGGCTTAATAAATTTTTTATGTTTCATTCTGAACCAAATTGTTTATGGAAGTAAGTACAGAACATTTCTTTTTATTTATTGGTATGGCGCTTATTTTATATCAGATATTGAATGTTCACTAATCAGACACTGCAGTTACGTAGTTCATAAGTTCAGGAATGCCCTCAACTACATTTGACTCAGATTAACTTTCTCTGCCGGAAGCTGACTGCAATGAGAAATATTAACTAATTTTTTTTTAATTTTCTATAATTTAGATGTTGATAAAAGGTTCAAATCCATGTCTTTCGGCATGGCACACACACTAATAATGATTCGGCTATTGTCGCTGTTACATTAACCAAAAATAAATAGACTGCATTTAAAAAATGTATAATAATAATAGCTAGCTAAAATAAAGAAACGCTTCTATAAAAAACCGCCTTGGACAACAGGCAAACACCTTTAACTACTAGTAAATATTGAAACTCCTTTGAGACTGAACAATGCTTCTTAGCCCAGAAAAAAAAAGAAAAAACGACTTGTGCCGAATACTGTTTTAAATAAAATAATATGTTATGGATTTGATGACATCAAACTAAAGGTGCTAAAGCATTAAACATGTATTAATTCCCAGATAATATAATATGGTAGTTGAACTATGTAAAATATTGTCATATTTTTCCAAACTTTTCGAAAAGGCGCCACTATCAAGAATGTTTGCTCCTCTCCATTTAAATCTCTCGAATTTCGAATTTTAATGAACACTTCGGAATTGGCAATAGCATTTTTCTGTCATCTCAGTAGTTGGACGCCGAAATATCAGTGAAAATGATAATTTCATTAGTCACATTATAACATACATGCATAATATATAAGAATGCACATATGCATTTATCTGTAGGTTCTAATCACCTGTGTCAGATATGGGAGAGCTGGGATCTATAGAATTTGTACTGCTTGAGTTTGTAGACCCCGATACCGTTCCACTCGAAAGATCCATTGAGACCGTATAAGGATTTTCTTTGGAAAAGTGCAGGTTATTGTTAAATACAGAAAAGCTGCCCGTGTGCGGCACATTTGAAGAGAGCTGAATGGTCTTCGATATATGATTAGGATGTAATCGACGATTTGCCGGAAGACTCGAAATAGCTAAAAGCACAGGAAAAATTTAAAACGTATTTTAAGATTTTCGCTTTGGTAAAAGAAATTACAAGGAGGTGGTAGTAGCCCAGGTCCATAGCACGGAGGAGACAATAGTACGGGTGGTCTGAAATGTAATGAGAAAATGTAATTCTAACAATAATGAAAAAGGTTTAAAATAGTAAAACAATATGATTGATATATATGTTGGTAGGGTTTGCGCTTAATTGCGTCTGTGGATGAATGAATATCGTACCCAAAAACTCCTACAGCTACAGCCGCTTCACGTAACGCTCGACCATGCTCCATCTCCCGCAGCGTCTCAGGGCGAATAGTGGCTGTGTTTCGCGGCTGTCGTTCATTTTGCACCGCTGTAATTGGAAAATAAATGAAATCGGAATGTGTTAACCGCACACAATACTTTTAACGACATGTCATCGAAATTTCAAGTGAACACACCCCGTATGCAAGGCACGTAAACAAATCTTCTTCAGAACTATATGCGTAACTCTAGCCGTATGTATGTGTGCATTTTGCTACATTTAGATTAAGCCTTCAAGGTGAAAATATGTGTTCACTCCACTCTCACTTCGTATGCATATGTATTTTATGGACTGAAACATTTGAAAGTGTCTAAATAGGCATGCTGATTTTGCACGAGCTTGCTTGGGAAGGTGTGTAATTGTTTTGGGGTCACGTGCCAGCACCACTGGCTATTTAAATATGTGTACATCTACCTATGCGCGCAAAATATATATGTAGCACATAAAATATAAATACATACATACATACATAAAAATAAAATCATATTCATAGATATGCATGTACTCATAAAAAGAAATGGATATAATAAAGCATATAAAATGACAAAAAAGCTATAATTTAAATATTTATAAAATCGTTTCCAATATAGTAAAAACAAAATATAACAAACAATTAATTGAATTTTTTTTTTCGAAATAGGAACAAATTAAAATAATATTATACTGTTCCACTCGTGCTTTGCTAATAAAAAATGGAAAACTTTTTTATGCTCGCAAAACATTACAATTCTTATTTAGACATTCTCTTCTATTGCATTTTCAATACCAATTAATTTTTCAATTTACGAAACAATAAAAGTTTAGCCGGTAATTATAAAGTATATTATATGGGTGATATTCAGATTTTTACTAACCGTCTTTATTCATTCCCATTTGAAGGCACTTTTTAAGGCGGCAAGCCTGACATTGGTTCCGATGCGCTTTATCAACAATACATCGACCTGTTCCGGCTTGACATCTGAAATATTATTATTTGAAATTTCAGTTATCAAGAATTAAGTTAAGTTTTCAATTAAAGCGCATATGTACAAGCATAGATATTTTACACTACAAGGAGTCCATCTATCTTCTACGATGGGTGCTTTTACGTAGTCGGGGAAATGTATGTTTAGCGAAACGTTGCCACCGTTGCATGATCGGGGCTAATTAAAGTTAAACAATGACAAGTTGACACGGGGCTACTTTTTTCTTATTTCAATATGCGGCATAGATTTGGCAATAGGATATTTTCGTTATCGTTGTATCGTTTACCTTTCCAAGTGTTCTGTTGTTGTGCCATTGCCGTGCAATTCATACTTGATGCATGCTTTCTTAGACTACGCGAATACTCCTGATGACTTTCTGGTTCATCAACAAAATGATGCAAATCTAATATTTAAAAACATACATACATAAATTCTCTGACCCATTGGACGTGATATATATTTATGAGCTTTATTTGTATATTTATTTCAGATGCGCAAATGCATACGTATGTACATTATACAACCATTTTTCCCTAACTACCTTGAGCGGATCCTATCAAATTATTTTGCTTGGGATCTTATCCATAAAAGCATAAACTTTGTTTTATCAGTTCTACTATTTATTCAAGCACAAATTTAGTAATTCTAATTCTTTTAGAATCTATCTCTATCAATTTGACGGTATAATTGGGACAAAAATTAATTATAAATAACAATAGCACGCCATTGATACACCTCATCGGCTGCCCTGGACATCAGTATCTTTTCGTAGAATTTTCGAGCCTAGGTGACTACATTCTCAAGCTCTTCGTACTCACGCTTTTCAGCATCATCTCTTTTCGTTTGCTCGAAAAAGCGTCTTGTTTCCCTCTTCAACTCTCGATATCTATCCATACCCGCACGTGTTGTGGTCGATTGTAAAGTTACGAGGTAGCTAGTCTGTTTTTCCTCCACTTCATTTAAAATTGCAAACAACTCGAAGAACTCATACAAAGCGCAAATCGGCGATGTTTTGAAAAATTTTATATTGTGGCGGGCAGTGGGAGGCACTCATCCCTCGGAGTGAATGCCAATACTCGGCGACGGAATCTCTCTTTTACCACAAATCATTAGCTGCTTGAACTATAGGAAAAAGAATCATTACTGGCCATTCCCACGTGAACGGCAGTCAAAAACTATCCTCACTTACGTCATCTTCTACATATGAAACCATCCTCCTGCTGGTGCAGAGAGACGCACAAATCATTGTTTACTAGGTTTTCACCAAAGCAGATTGAATTCGAAACTAAAAGTATCATTTATTTTGTACGAATTCTGATTGTGGGGTTCTCTAGCATCCTCTTGGAGTATAAATTTTACGCAGGGTACTATTGTCAATGCAAACCAATTTGACGTATAGAAGCACAGACGTGGTACAGCGGAGAGGACCGAATGACCTAGCCTTCAGTACGAAAGCAGTTTGTAAACAGGATGACTCCCTAATGCTAAATAAACAAGGTGCAATATTTACCACCTGGTAAAATTGATGGTGTGTGGTCTTAGTTCAGCTTTTTCCAGGTTAGTCAAAGAAACGAAAGAGTCTGCTAGTGAGCGAGGAGTAGACGAAATATCTCCTGTCATCAAATAAGTGATATATATCAGCGTATTCACGTCTTGGTCACCCGCCATTATTTACAAGTTCTCTCTCGTCGAACAAAGTCCAAATTCTAAGAGTCCATCATTCGATGCAGTACCCTCTGGAACAGTCATGGTAAATATCTCCATTCCGTTGGTACGTTATGTGCAAATTGGTCCCAATTAGAGATACCAACCGCAAAAAAGCCGATCCCACAGTCTGCGCCGATTACCGTGGAATAAGCCTACTTAACATCAAGCGCATTTGTGTGAAAGACTGAAGTCCACCTTCAACAAACTGATTTAAACTTATCAGTGTGGATTTAGACCTGGTATTACAAATATTGACCAGATATTCACCATGTGCCAAATCTTTCAAATGACCCGTGAAAACCGGATCAGGAAGGACCTCTCCGAGCCGTTCGATACCAAACGAGGTTTCAGACAAGGTGAATATTTACCGTGTGACTTCTTAAACTTATTGCTGGAGAAAATAATACGAGGTGCAGAAGTGAAAAGAGAAGGTACAATCTTGTACAAGGATGTACAGCTGCTGATGTACGCCGATAATATCGACATTATTGGCCTCAACAACCGCGGCGTGAGTTCTGCTTTCTCCAGGCTTGATAAAGAAGCAAAACGAATGGGTCTGGTAGTGAATGAGGGCAAGGCGAAATATCTCCTGTCATCAAACAAACAGTCATCGAATTTGCGACTCAGCTACTGGGTCACTGTTGACAGTATTAGCGTCTATCTTGGAATCAGTATTAACACCAACAGCAATGTCAGTCTAAAAATCCAACGCAGAATCACTCTTGCCAACCGGTGCTGCTTCGGACAAGCAATTGAAAAGTAAAATCTTCTATCGGCGAACGAAAACCAAACTCTACAAGCCGCTTATCGATCACCCTCTTGCTATATGGTGTGGTCCGGAGGCATGAACGATGTCAATATCTGATGAATCGAAGAGTCTTCGAGAGAAAAGTTTTGCGAACGATTTATGGTCCTTTGCGCATTGGCAACGGCGAATCCCGCAGTCGATGGAACGATGAGGTGTACGAGCTATATGATGATATTGACATAGTCAGCGAATGAAGAGACAGCGGCTACGCTGGCTAGGTCAGGTGGTTCGAAAGGAAGAAAATACTACAGCTTTGAGAGTATTCGATGCAGTACCCGCTGGTGGAAGCAGAGGAAGAGGAAGACTCCGTTGGAGGGATCAGGTGGAGAGTTATCTGTTTTCACTTGGTATTTCTAGCTGGCACCACACAGCGAAAAGAAGAGATGTATGGCGCGCTAATATTGATTCGGCTATAATCGCGTAAGCGGTGCCAACGCCAATAAAGAAGAAGAAGGAGAGATACCATCCGAACTCACATACCCTTCCCATGCGGTATTTAACGTTGCCGCTCCTTCGCTGTTCTCATCGCGAATCAAGAAAATAGCTGGTGCCCGGCATAACAAAATTGAATTGTTGCCAACTAAACTATGAAAATAGAAAACTAAGAAATACATATAAAAATAAAGCGAACCTTCTTGCCCTTATAATATGAAAATTAATTTTTTTAATGTTGTTATGATTTATATTTTCCTTTAGTCATCGCAAATGTCAACTCACTTTATCCATCCCTAGAGATTGATATGGAGCTTAACATGAATACACTTAACCAAATGTGACCAAAAAGCACAGTGTATGCGACCAAAGCGTTTCAAGTCAAGGGGATGAAGGTAAGCATAACGCTCAGAAGCCTTGGATTATCGGAATGCATTGAGTAAATGTATCCATGTACACACTTTGCTTGTTCAAATGTATGAATATCAGTATTTAGCTCAAAACGTGCGTGAAGGTAATTTTTTCCTCCCTTGTGCGGACTTTTGTTTGATAAACAGTTGAGGATATGTACATATGTACACGTATGTATGAATATGCGAATGACTATGTGAATAATAATGTGCATAATGTGGTTTAGATGGAAAAAACCTCAGTATGGAATATATGAATATACGAATTTCGAATTTTGAATCTCTATGATGCATATGCACTTCTTAATATGAGCATATGAGCCCAATTGAAATTTATGGGAAGATTCATACGAGGAAATCTAGGTCTGCTTAAGAAGGAGAAACTATTTTTCTTATTATACAATAATTACATTTAGATTTTAAAAATATATAATTTAAATACCAAAATAATTGTATGGGCATATATAATATGTGGCATGAAACTAACCTGTAAATGAGTTTTCGTCGAACACTACGTTTGAAGAATCCCGAGCAACCATTGCAGGCTAAAATTCCATAGTGTTTCCCCGAGCTGGTGTCGCCGCAAACCACACAAATCAATCCTAAGTTTTGATTTTTGGAGCGCGCAGCCGCAACAGATCCTGCTTGATCGACATTTGTCGCTGAATTGACAACTGAATGCTGACTCCAAGGGACTAGTCGATTCTGCGGCGAATAGCACACTCTGTTTGTGTGAGATGTTAGTATTTCTGCAATGAATAAATACACTTGCTAAGTTGCTTTCAATTAAATTTCGTTTTATTAAATTGCAAATGTTCAAATGCATATTACTCTTTTGTATTCTACACCCCAATCTAATCCTAAACTGATGGATTCCTTACTGACTTTGCGTGCACATGCCTTTGAATATTTACATCCACTATTTTTTTCCGTTTTCAATTTGTCCATAAGTGAAGTGTTGCTGCCGGCTTTGTGAGTAATCTACAAATTTATTTACACATTCAATTAGGGTACCATTAAAGCCTCGCGTCAATCTGTGCACAAATTTTTCTCTGGGGACAATTGTTTCGCCATCACACCCTAATTTGATTGTAGTGATTTTTTGATGCACTTAACCCTGGAAGGAGCAACTTCGACCAAGCACCGGCGGTCTCATTTGTCACGGACGGCTGGTAATTTCATCAAATATATTCAACCAAACAAGTAGCAAGTGTTAGCCGCAGTCAGTGGGATTAACGTCATATGCTTGAATTTTATGTTGTTAATATTATAAAGATGATGTCGATGTTGAACATCACCCTATGTCTGAATCGCCCAATGAAAGTGTTAAACTTTTTAAAACCAACTTCAATACAAACATCATGGTAAGATTACCAACATACATACATTCATACTTTTATACATAAGTGGATAACGATATATTTACAATACCATTGAAAGTGGTTGCGTGTAGATAAGAAAAAATGTACTCGTACATACTTGCATGCATATACATATATTTAAATATATTCAATACATCGAGTGTGTTTGTAGTAATTTGATTAACTTTAAATTGCAAGTATCGTTGTTATAATTTCTAAAAGTTGAGATGATAAAAATCTAGATTGTGGGAATAAAAACGCCAGGATTTACACTTGTCATACTGAAACGGAATACCAAGCAGGTCGGAAATCAATTTAATTTTATTTAGACAGAAGATGGCTACGCACTTCAAAGTCGAAAGGTAGTAGTTCTAAATCTCAAACACAATGTTTTTTCTAAAACCGGTCACTCCCCGGCTGGGTAAGGAAAAGGAGTCAGAAAAAAGTCCTCATGATAGATTTTATCAGTCGTTCTGAGGTGGCTTACAACTGTTGATTGTTCCGTTTGTCGGAAAAATATTTTAAGATCACCCTGTCATCCCATCTTTTGGCAAACAACCCTATTACTGGTAAATAGAATAGAAAAATTTAGCAAATTTAGGAAGTGGGCAACAGCAAAGAAATAAAGGTAAAGAAACTGCTATTATTATTTTTGTTGTGTCGTAGAGGCTGGTATACTGTATAGAGTTTTTGAAGCCGAGAATGTTCTTGATGTATCTAGGTAGTGGCGAAGCTTCCATAAATTGTGTTTTGGGATCGACCCCAGGAGCATATATATTTAACTGTTTCACGTCTGGAGGATTTGAGGATTTTGTTGCGGCTTTATACTTTTGTAGCAATTACAGTCGTACGCCGAGTGAAGGAGTGCAGGTGTGCAGGTGAGATAGATAGAAAGATTGTCTACCGGTACGAAGTGATCGGCAGTGGTTAGGGCTGTTCTGAGGAAGAGGGGAGATCGCTGAAGGTGTTCTTGGCAGATTTCGTGAAGCCGGTCCAGCCAGCTCTCGCTACAGCCGATTATATGCATCGGATTCATTCCGGCTAATGGCGGTTACCCTCTTGGCAACCTAATCCCATTTAGGTCTACAGATAATTAGATTTTTGCCTTTCGACGACATGTGAAAATTGAAGATCTTAGGCTAATTTTTTGTCAAATTATTATTAAAAAGACTACAGAAACTGAAAGAGAATGGACGTGAGGAGTTGGAACGTTTCAATTATTTAATTGTTTAATGACCCATGCCAACTTGTGCAGCACTGGTATGGAGGGCGACAGTAAAAAGGAAGTGCAGTATTAAAGTGTGCTTGTAAGACCATTATGAGCCACATGGAAGTCGTTGTAATCAACTGACACATAAAACATTTCTACCAATAGTTTAGTGCCTTAACAATGCAGCTCGTTGTGGCTCGTTCAATGCAGCAAATAATGGGCGAACGTAAAGCTATGACTACCTGTGAAGATATATATATTGATATAAGGAATCTCAGTGCGATGCAGACACCAGTGAAGGGTTCTGCTGCAACTGCGAAAATAGAAAATATTAATTCAAAATACATGCATACAGCTCAGCTTTTGAAGCCCATATAACAGGAATCTGGAGGAAATTAAGGTAATTGAATTTATGTGTCAGCATACAAGCATACATTTTCTGTTGTCCTTGGTAAGATATTGTAGAACAACTTGTATATTTGTAGACCGTGGATTAAAAGATGAATACTAGCCGAACTATAATTTAATTGAGTTGCAGGCCATAACACAAACAGACAAGACAGAGCTCAGCTTTTGCATTTCGAAGAAAAAGATGGTACTCTTCTATTTAGGTACTATTTTTTTAAAGAGAGTAAAAAACACGGAACATTAAAATTTAAGGTGGACATATTCTTTAGCATTTATTTTTTAAAGATTATATATGTATGTATACATTTAATTGACGCTTTGTAACCGCTTGTGCGATTTTTCCGCCGAGCTGCTCCTTCTTTTGTAGTTTTTGCGTCTTGATGGTTTTTCCAACAAATGGAGGGACCTACAGTTTACACTGAGCCGCCCCGAACTTTCCGAATGGCAGTACAACACTTTTTGAAGATTATCTCTTTCAACCGTTACATCTCAGATGGTCCATCCGTTGTGTCCAATTATCGATTAATTCTGGTAACTGGTGAGTGGCACACATGATTTTTTTGCTCCAAGGCCTTAATCGAAACTGGATTGTCCGCTTCCGATTATTCCACCGGCACAAACCACACCAAACCAATGCCCATATGCGGAAATTTTTTGCTGTTTACATATTAATTCAGCAATAAATCGGCCTCATCGCTGAACAAAATTCATTCCATAAGTCAGTCCGAGTTGCTGCGAACGGTGCCGAATCGGCTCTCTATGGTCGAATATTATCCAATAATGAATGCTGGGTCTCACGATGGATAATGGAGGTGATAATAGTAGGCTCAGTAGGCGATTATTGCCCATAACTTTAGCGAAGCGCGCGAAGCACATTCTTTACCGCATTTGAATTTTCATAATAAAGTTTAACGATTTGTGAACATTTTTCAGAAATAAGTCTTTCCATTATGAAAATAACATAACAGCTTGGCATAGCTCATACGTGATCTGTCAAAAAAAATGCTAGTGAAATAACTACCTTTCTTCTATCTTCTTGGATCACCCGCTAAATCAGCACCAATATTCCATATACTCGTATATTGAGGGATGTTTTGCGAGTTCGTAAATTTAAGTATATCAAATGTATTTAAAACAATTATTTGCATGACATTGCTGTTTTTTATATAGTTTGAACCTTGGCATTGTACATGCACATGTGAAAGACTATATCATTCAAATTTTAACAAACTGAGATGCGTTTAAGTAATTTTCGAGCACTTTTCGGAACATATTAGCCAGTATCTCAGTCATAACTTGATTAATGTTGGTTTTTAAATGTTCAAGAGTTAAGCGTACATCCACATATCCTAGGCCTTTCGAGTAGTTGCCCAAAAAAGTCCAACGGTGTCAAATCGCACGATCTCGCCAAGATAAGAGCTTAATCGACATCGAAATTTCGCTCGCAATAAAGACATATTCGCTCGTATTTCGTGGCATCTGGCAACATCTAGTTGAAACCACATATTGTTCAAGTCTTTTTCTTCAATTCCCGCCCGAAAAAGTTTGATTATCATATGACTGTACCTCTTCGAAATGACAGAGACAGTCTCCCCCTTGTCGATCTCAAAGAAGTATGGTCTAAACACACCTCCAGACCAATGAGCGCACCAGACAGTAACGACCTCTTTTCTGTTATTTCAGGATTCTCGGAGTCCCGAATACCACAATTTTATTAAAACGCTGTCCAATGCTTGTCCTTCATGCAGCCAATCGACGTATGTACGATGTTGTGAATGGTTTGCTGGCATCAGTTGTTAGGTGATCTGGAGTTTTTATTGTTGTAGGTGCCCAAGTGCAAAATATGCCATAATGTGACGTAAGAAAGTCCCATATCTTGAGGACGTCGAGAAATAGACACATTCGGGTCTTCAGCTACACTCTCAGTTACAGCAGCGATAGTGGAATGAGCAAAACATTGATGCACGAGCCTTATAAAATACGTAACCGATCCATCCTCTTCAAAGTTCTTTATATTCTTCAATCCTGGAAGAAGCCCTGCGGTATTGTCATAAAATACGGAATCGCTGGTATGGTGAATTCAATCGATATTGTATATTAAAATCAGTTGTTGTTCCGTGAACTATTAATGCTGTGCATAAACTGATATTGAAAGATCGTCGTGGGGGAAACTTTAGAGAAATATCCCACTACCCTATTCAAAAGCCAATGAATTAAAATTTTGATTAATTTAATCTTCTCCCTTCTAAGGTATCTAATAAACTCTTCAGAAGCTCTTGAAAAATGAAAAAAAATTTTACTGAAACTAACTACTCAATTAATTAGTAATATTTCTCTTTCAATGCTTTTAATACAAAAGGTCAAAAAATACACTTTAATGAATTAAATTAACAAAAATTTTACACACCATCCCGACTTGTAATACATTTAAGTTAGAACTTGATTTAATTTAATTTATTTATTAATTTTTTGCTCTATATAGATGTTTGACAATATTTAATAATTCCGCGAAAGGATTTTTTGTTTCCCGCCTCCATAAAATTTCCACATCGACAGAATTTGCCAGGTTGTTGTAGTTTTATTTATAGAAAAATCGTTTCACCACCCGCCACTGTGAATACACATGCTGCGTATGAGTGCCGCCCGATGAAACTAATGTTTTTACAGGGTCACTGTGGTTCACCTTCCCGTATCCATATTCCGAGAGGCAATCGCAGGCCCGCTAGAAATCGCTACAGATGTTTATTTTTTATCAGAGAAAGGAGGACCTCGGTCGATCGAACATTTTCTGTATGTATTGTATTTTATATTTATATAACTTTACTATTACGTTTGTTGTACTTCCGCTTGCACTATTTCGTCCGGGCCACCGGTTTTTGCCTTAACCTCTTGGTGGTCATACTAGTATATAATTACTGCCTCTCGGCAATAGCTATACCTGTCGTAAATAACGGCATATAAAAACACACAAAATCATATATTAGCACTTTCTGTAGTCCATTTGCGTTTTATAGATGGCACACAATCCTGTTCTCGGCAGCAGACTATGTTTCTCGGAAAACAGATCACACTGTTCATACGGTTACTTCGCTGTTTGATGCTGGTTGGAAATACCCAGAACAGCCAAGTCCTTCTCTACTTGGTCTTTCCAACGGAGTGGAGTCTTTCCTCTGCTTCTACGAGCGGGTGTTGCATCGAAACGTTCAAAGCTGGAGTTTTTTATCCACTGTTTCCTGATTCGCTGAATAATGTCAATGTCGCCGTATAGCGCGTACAGCTCATGGTTCCAACGGCCGCGGTATACGCCGTTCCCAACTCGCATTTCATAACTCGTTGTCCATACTCGTGTTATTTTTAATAATTTTTTTTAAGCGTCATTGTTTGAAAAGGGCTCAGAGTTAAATAACTCGAGCTATCATGTTTGTAATTTAGTTTTAAAGATTTGTACACTTACTGTTAGGCTTATATTATAGCAGATCCAGTAAATAAATGAATTCTGTATAAAAAAAAAAACAAATTTTAGCGCAAATATCAAATATGTGTTTCACGATACCCTGACTGCTTCACAACACACTGGTTTGACTGATTTGACAACCGAGAAATGAAACCTATGGAATGACAGGAATCGAAACAAACACGAAGTTATGTTACTTGATAGACTGTACAATGAATATAATAGAGAATCCCGTTACCGCAGACGCGGTTGCAGCGGCGATAAATGCGTTCCACTGTGGTCAAACATTTGAGCAAATAAGGTTCACAAAACGAGTTCAAAAAACTTAATTTTATGACAATAGTACTGAATAATGGCCGCGTTAGCCGAGTGGTTCTAGTCTTGGTTCCACCAACTTCCAAAAGTTAAAGAAAAATAATTGAAATAAAAATTTAAGTTAAATTTTTTAATTGTGTATGACTAGCAACCCTGATGAATTCAATTATAAATTTGTTTAATAATATTTTCCTCACTTTGTAAATGTTATTAAACTTGAAAGAGCTAATGTAAAACTATGAAACCTTGGAATCAAAATAGAATCCCCATTCTCAAAAGGAAACGCAGTTTACTTACGACATACATAGTTAGTTTTTAGTTATTGTGGCAAAAATAAACCCATTTAAATTTCCACCAAATTTATGTGGAGATAATGGGATTTTTCCAAAAAGGATTCTCTCATGCATGAGACCAATCGCTAGAATATTTTTCCTAAGATCAAAATGTCCAAATTTTCTTTTGCCAGCTGTATCTGCTGACCAAATTACAGAAATTAGCATAGTGAAAGAAAAAAAGAAGTAGGACCTTTGACATGTACAATTTCTTTAATCCCTTGACATAATGCAACGTATTGTGCTTCCATGGAACTTAGTGCCACACCAAACTGTTTTAGAGACTCCCAGGGTATAGTTCCTCCAGCCATTGACTTTAACGTTACTTTCCAAATCAGAGCCTGTAAAATATTAGGATGCCCCAATAGAAACCGGAGATTTTTTAAAAGAAAGTAAAATTTTATAATGAACTTTAATCAATTATGTAATTTTCATTTTGTTGGATGATCTTCGCCATCTTTCCTGCAACATCATTATTCCAAGCTCATAGAACTTTTGGCATTTATCTGCAAACAAAACTGAACACAGTGTGAGTTTATAACCTCGTCATTTCGAAAGTCCGGCGGTGCAACATCAGGGCCATAAAGTGGATACTAGAGCGCAGCATGGGTATACCCGCCATGTAAGCTACTCTGCAGTTCGCTACGTACGGTACGAGTAAAACAAGAAAACAACGAAAACGATACAAGAAAGCCTGGCCCTGCGACGCATCAAACAGAGTAGAGCAAGCTCTAATTTTTCTTTTACGCTCTATTCGCTTGTGCCGGCGGAGTAAATATACCGCTCCGCTCTCATGAGCTTATGAAAATTTGCGAACTACTCCAAAATCAGCGAGAGTTTCGAAACGACTCCAAATTAGTTCAGCAAAATAAGTATGTAGGTATGTTTATGTAATAAAAATTATTAAAATTAAGGTAATATAATTAATGTAATATATATGGATATTGATGAGGTTAGTTTTCGAATATTGCACTATTTGTTATATTATGTATACTTAATTTTATTGAAATGTTGTAAGATGCTTATATAATATATACACATATACATAATAAGTATTTTTACGTTTCATTTTTCCTTTTTAAGTTTACTCAATATTCAATTATTTTTATTTGAGTAAAACAAATTGGTTGCTAAGTTTTATTCTAGGTATATAATACGATCATAAGAAAAATAAATAAATAAAAATAGATACGATTTTACCTCCTCAAGATAACCAACTTACTAGCCTACGGATCAGGTGTTCCGCAGGGTAGTGTTTTTGGACCAATATTGTATATTTTGCTCACCGCAAGTGACAAAGTAACGACGTCAACTTTTGCGGATGATACTGCCATACAAAGTCGACGCAAATATTCCAATACAGCAACAAAAGTGCTAGAGCAGCAGCTAAAAGTTATAGATGAGTGGCTAGCAAAATGGCGCATAAAAGTCAATGAAATTAAGTGCAGGCACATCACTTTTACATTAAGGCCAAAAAAGTGCCCCACCGTCAAGCGATGTGCCTATCCCACAAGCTAACGAAATCACATACCTTGGCATCCACTTGGTCAGACGACTAACTTGGAAGCGGCACATTTCTGCCAAAAAAATACAGCTGAGGCTTAAATTTTCCAGTTTGTATTGGCTTTAAAGCAAGAAATCTGGACTTAGCCTTAGCAACAAAGTCCTCTTATATACTGCAATAATAAAACCGATATGGATGTATGAAATCCAGTTATGGGGCACAGTATGAGCGACGAATATAGATATAATTCAAAGGTTCCAATGGAAAACGTTAAGAGTAACAACGGGCGCATCATGGTGCATGCGTAATGAAAGTATCCATAGAGATCTAAATATACGAGTACCTACCACCAAAAAAGAGATTGAAATAGCAGCACAAAAATACTTAATAAAACTGCGTAACCATCCAACCCCTTTGGCTAACACCTTGGCCCATGCATCAAGTCAAACCCGTCTGCGAAGAAGAGACAAAGCAGCATTCTAAAGAGTAACGTCAAGCCAGCAGCTCATTCCTAATAATGGGTTTTGTGTTTCAATTTAGTTTAAGATTTGATTATTTATTGTTCGGCTTCAGATGTCGAAGCAGATCCAATAAACAAATATTAATGTTTAAAAAAAAGTTCTATTTTCTGCTTACGTTAAGTCTAGTTTTCGTTAAAAAAAATTAAAATTATGCTGAGATTTGTACTCAGCAAATAAGAGTGCTGCTGCCAATCTTTATTTTAAAATCAATAACAACAATTATTATATTTTTCTCTTCTGGCATATCACATGATACAAAAAACAAGGTAGTCGCACTTAATTTTTTTTTTTTCAAAAATACAATAGTAGCTATCAGACATAACATATTTTTTGACTTTTGCTTTATTTTTGTGCTACCATTTTAGTTTTTTAAAAAATAAACTTCATAAAATTAAAAAAAATTATTACATAAATTGCTAACTTTTTCAAGTAAAAAAAAAAAATAAGAAAAATTAAACGCACGCACAAGAAACTCAAATTTTTTGCATAGTGTTTTCTGAAATGTAATGAAAATTAGAATATTTTCAGGCGGCTTATCCTGAAAGTGGCAAATATGCTTCAATTTCTACTAAGATAAAACAAGAAACTCCAAACACTCCAAAAATTCCATTTTTTCGTCAACGACTGCAACAAAACTCCTAAGCTCAATTCCTGTTTACACTCGGTACCGCAAAACTCACGAAATTCACCGAATATGCGAAAAGGCGTGTTGGTGCACCGCTCTAATGGATACATCAACTGTTCCCTGCCAAGCTCTCCTGGTGGAATAGCACACCTTTACGATTGACCAATTCTGGCTGCGTCTCGGTGATGGATGTTTTCTATTGGTCCAGTTGTTCGCAGTAGACAGTCGAATTAATCGTTTGGTGTCTTGAAAACAGCTCAAAATATACTATACCCTTCCAATCTTTTTTTGGTGACTATCAGCCTTTGAAGTGGCTTGTGGCGCTGCATCATGCTTGGACCATGATCGTATTCGTTTGAAGTTATTGTAAACAATTCATTTTTCATCGCCAGTTGCGATTTGCTTCAAAAACTAATCATATTCATTGCGATTAAGATGCATATCACAAGTGTTGAAGCGGCTTGTTAAATGAATTTCTTTCAATTCACTTGGCCGACCTGAAAGTGGCTTATTTTTGAAAAATTTTGTGAAAAATCTTCCGAATGGAATTTGGCAAACAAACATCGACACTGTATTTCTTTTAAGGCCTTATCACTATTCGAATAATGCAACCTTATAGCAACCTGCGCTGCATTGTTTCCTTTAAGGAATTAATAAAGTGAAATATGGCGAAAATGATCTTCTTTGGACTCCATATTAAAATGAGGAAAACAAACAAATATAAGCAAAATTACTCGTGATCTTTTTCTAAAGCAATCTAAAAGTAACAGCTTATAACTGTCAAAAGAAAAAATACAATTAAATAGCCACAAGTTGCGTGGGCATGAAAAATCTGGTATATAATATTCATGCGTTTAACAGAAAAAGTTAAATTACTGACTGGATTTTTCTTTAGGTATTGGAGCACGTATTTCGCGGCATTCAAGTGTTTCGAAGGAATTTCTTCAACTAACCGTCTCCCATTTCACTCCATCTACATTCCCAAAAAAAATTAAGTTGGGCCATAATCAACCGCCTCAAAGCATTTATTCAACATCCTCAGAATATCCTCACTTCCGATCGCCAGTTTCATATTGTTAATATTAAAATTTTTACCATTTCGGCGTAATTAAATATATGTATCCCATTTCCACCTTTTGAAAGTAATTCTTAATAATATCTTTCCGATTCCTTGTTTAAGGTCATACAAGCCAATTCCTTAATTGGAGTCCTCTGAACCTTTGTAACATGTAAAATGTTTCTTATAATTCTCCAGTTAAGTTAATGTCTACATAGTTAACCAATAATTTGTGTTTCGCTGGTAACTCCAAAATAAAGCGACATCGCCTTGTACTTTTCAATAGAACCGATTTGTATCCGTTTAAATGAAAACACCTAATTGCATTCAACTGCATGAACATTCTGAGGTCCAATCCATCAATTACGAATTTTATTTCGCATTTGTAAGTATTTCATATTCTACATTCAACTTTTTTCCAATATTTCGGCTCTGGGGAAGATAATACCTTATTTATTGAACTTGGATTCTAAATATTTATATATAATATAATTGGCGCATTGTAACCGCTGAAGCGCTTTTCAGTCAAGATCCTCCTCCAATTTGTAGTTTTGCGTCTTGATGTTTTTCAAACAAATGGAGGGACCTACAGTTTACAATAGATGTCGTATGTTTTAGCGTCAACAAGAGTTTGTTTCATTCATTTGAAAATGTCTAAATTTGTACTAGATAAAGTGTTTTTACGGGGAGCTCTTTTTCATTATTTTAACATGAAGAAAAGTTCTACTAAAGGCCTTCCCTTTTCACTGGACGTTTAAGGTGACCATGCTTTAGCCGAACGAACGTACCAAAAGTGGTTTGCACGGCTTAAAAGTATCAACTTCGACTTAGACGACGGACAGCCGAAAAAAATTCACGACGAAGAATTGGAGACATTGCTCGACGCAGATGCATGCCAGACGCAAGAAGAACTTGCAAAAGCATTAGAAGTTGAACAAGCAACCGTTTCAGGACGATTAAAACCATTTTTTCACGAAAAAGTCTTAATTTTCTAAAAAAAAAAAACACCGTACGAATTAATGCATACATCCAATAATAATGGTTTATTTTTATCAGGAGCTTTATTTCATGTCAGAAATACATTTGGAGGGGTCTAAATTCCCTGCTGAGAGGCGATCGCAATTAGAAAATTCAGCTTAATTTTATATTGAAATTTTCTATACATTTGGATGTTGGTCGCACGGAGATTTGAGCCCGAGCCTTCCGAATGTCAGTACGCAATGCTAACCACTCCGTTACCACAGCCGCCTCAATAATGGAACTTAATATTTCCAGCCCATTATCTACGTAGTATACTCTTTTCGGTCATCCGGTACAAATTTCGGTCTTCCGCGTTTCCTTTTCTTATGGCCCACAACTTCTTCATATTTGAATCTAGTTTCACTTTCATCTTCCTTATCTTCTTGATCAAATTACATTATATTCTTAATTTTTATCCTTTTCCCATTGATTAATCGGATATATCCATTTCATTTTCCATATAAAACGGTTCTTCAAGAGTGTTAGCAGTTTTCAAATTATTTTTGAAAGACCTGCGACGAATTTCGGCTCAAATCTTTTCGGCGAGAATTTGCGTACAAAAATGCGAAAATAATGGCAGCAAAAAGTTTAAACAAATTAAAAGCTTTTGTTTTTCATCCGATAAAGTAAATTTCAGTATACCGCGAATACTCTTTTATGAACGTGGCGAAATATGACACACCTCCAATTAAACTAATTCCTGTCGGACCAATTGTATGCACTAATTCTAACAGATTTTTCGTATACATATTATTGTGAATCTTATAGGATTTTTACACATTTTACAAACTGCACATGTAAAACAATCTATTAGTTTTGATATTTTTGAATTTAATCTATTTTCTGTATTTAAATCATATAATTTATTTAAGTCACTTACGTCTATGCGAGTCATTTACATTACTGCACTGCTTTTTTTTTACAAAAACCACTTAATTATCGCACTCAACAGCCTTACTAAGATAACATAAGTCTTGAAAATTAATATGGGTATATCTTGTTCTGGTAAATTTTTTAATTGCGGTCGCCCCTCGGCAGGAAATGTCAACCCCTCCGACTGTATTTCTGACGGCTTGGAATATCGCTTCAGCGATGGTAACATTATTTCATGTATTTCACGAATGAGATATATAAATATCATATACTTATACTCGTACACACTATCAATTACCTAAAAATAAACTTAGCAACAATTATAACGATTTCACTATTCGCCATACATATTTTAATGATGTTTGCTATTGCTTGCCCAGCTGTTGCCTTCAACTACTTGATAAACCTCCAACTACACAACGATTATTTTGTAGCTTTTAGCGCCGTTGGCAATATATTCTTATTTTATTAATGTTTAAATAATGTGAAGTAGATCGGCAATATTTGGGCTATCGGTTGCACGCATGGGTCACATGATCCCCAGAAATCAGGAAAAAGTTTATATTAACCACCATGGATATAGTTCTATCAATGGTATTGTGATAGCATTACCTTTGTACATAGCCTTGTTCTAAAATGTTGGCACTATTCGTTTATTTAGAGCTCCAATAGAATGTGAAGAGTCAAGCACCCTTTTTGGAAAGTGGAAACCATAATTTGATCTTGATTTGTAAACTTTGCAATGCATTACAATTAATTTTATAAAAATAATTGCTATAACAAATTTATTTGATTTTGTTATTCCTCTTTAATTCTAGTTGTAGCTTCTTGTAAAATATTGTACCATCTCTTTCAGCTGTGCACCTCGTATTATTTTCTTCAGCAATAAATTAAAGAAGTCATACAATAAGGAATCACCCTACCTGAAACCTTGTTGGGTATCAAACGACTCGGAGAGGTCCTTCCCAATTCTGA